TCATTGAGTATGCCCGCAATGTCTGTGGCATCAAGGACGCCACCTCGGAGGAGTTCAACGGCGAGGCTCAGAACAAGCTCATCATGTTCATGCCAGAGGTTGACAAGACTACCATGGGCGCATCCATGCGTCTGGGTCTTCGCCCAACATTGTTCCAGCCTGGTAGTGAGTGGTCTCGTCTCCGCGCTCTGTATGCTGGTAAGAGTGAGATTTTGGAACGACACCGTCACCGCTATGAAGTCAACCCGGATTACATCGACACCCTTGAGAAGGGCGGCCTGAGCTTTGTTGGCAAGGACGAAGCTGGCGTTCGTATGGAGGTCATCGAGATCAAGGACCACCCTTGGTTCGTCGGTGTCCAGTTTCATCCAGAGTACCTTTCCCGTGTCTTGGATCCAAGCAGACCCTACCTGGGCTTCGTTGCGGCTAGTGCAGGTATGCTGGAAGAAATTATACGTGATTACCAGAACGGCCCTCAGGCTGATGCTATCACAAACGGCGTAAATGGTCTCAAGGTTAGCAGTGTTTAGATAGAGCATTGGAGCCGGGAAGAGCAGGTCAATCAGCTATAACACTGGGAAACTGGGAAGTCAAGCGGCGGTCAATGCATCTAATGGTGCCAAGTCTGCTCCTCTGCATGAGTAAATTACGATTTATAAGGGCGATTCTTCGTTATGTTTCAGAGATAACGGACTATGGATTTTGATGTTCAATTCAGCGCGGTTAGATAGGCTGGCTGTTGCAGTTATAGAACGGTAATCTCTAAGAATTATAACAACAAAAACTATATAATATTTAGAAACAAAGTAGCCTTAAATTACTAAAGTATAGTATAGTATAATTAATAAATACATACCAAAGAGAGTTATTATACGAAATAAGAAGATTTCTCATCTTAATAAGTAATAGAATAACTTAAGGCCTATAGATATCTATAACGTACCCTACGGGCGAGTTACTTATTATGAGACGTTTTGGGGTTATTAGGCACGGGTAGAGTAAAACAATAGCAGTCTTCAGTAAACGGTCTGTATTTCACGTAGACGAACAGCTACTAAGCCTAGGTAGTATTCTCCGTGCTTATATCTACTTTAATAAGTTAGATATAACTAAGACAGGTTAATAAGGGCTAGATTGGCCCTGGATGGTGTAAGGTAGTCTAAGGAGGGTAAGATCCTGATACTTATACGGGCGAGTTTCTTACTTTTACTAAGTCTCTACTAAAACCACTACTTAACCCTAATATTATAATAATAATAGTATCTAGATCTCTCCACTTACTATTAGATATAGCTTACTCTTTAAGCTCTTAAATATAATATTAATCTCTTATAATAGTATATTATAGCTATCTATACTATCTTTTAAAAGATACTTGGTAATTAATATATAGAATAACCTCTATACGCTAACTATATATTGAATTTAAGTAAACTTACTAAGCTAAAGAAGAGTATTATTACTAAGTATATCCTTAAGTATATTATCTATAGATTTCTCTCTAAGCTTATAGATATAGCTAGTATAGCTAATTCTTTATACACTATATATATTTTAGATTAAATTATATAGAACTAGGTTAGTATATTTATTAAACGTTGATTTAAACTTAAGATATAGTAGAGTTATGGGTATAATAATAAGAGAGCTATCTATTAGAATTTTAAAACTATCTAAGTTTAGTTTAGTTTATATTTAATATAAAAGCTAAGTATAACGTAATTTATAAGCGAGTAGCTTATCTAAGCTAGTAGTTTACTCTCTACTAGCGCGTTAATGTTATAACATTATTATAGCTATTTAATATAGTATATTAAAAACTATAATTAGCTAATTTACTCTTTAGATCTATTATAATTACTAGTACTAGTAATTTCTACTATATAGGTGCGCGCGTTATATTTAGTCTCCTTATAATATTTATACTATCTCTCTTCTAGTACTCTCTTAAATATACTCTTACTATTACTATAATTACTATTTACTTATTTAGCTAATAAGTCTTATATTTTACTAGTAGTAATAGTCTCTTTTATCTATATATATTACTACTTATAGCTTTTATACTTACTTAATTTACTTAGTACTACTTAAAGAGTAGTTATCTTCTTTATTAGAAGTATTATTTTATATACTATTTACTAAGTCTATTTACTTAATAAAATAATTTACTTAACAAGTAAATTAGTAATTAGCTTATAGTATTTTCTTATATACTTTTAAATTAAATTAATTTAAGACTTAAAATTATATATATTATATAGTATTTATATCTTCTAAGTTACTACTTATTAGAATAATTATAATTATATATATACTACTATATAAAGCTTTACTAGTATAGCTTATAGATTATATAGAACTAAATTAGTATCTCTAAATACTACTAAGATATTATCTAATATAATAGACTACTTAAATATAGTCTTAAAGACTAGTAGAAAAATATCTTTACTAATATAGCTAGTAACGGAATATACTAAGTGTAATATTATATTATTATACTTATATTCTAAAAGTAAGAAATAAAATATATTAAGAGACTATAGTAGATATAGTAAGTAATAAGAAATATAGAGAAGAATAATATATCTCTTTTTATAGAGATATTAAAATTTAATAAAGTAGTAGCTTTTATAGCTATTAATAATTAGTAGTAAATATTGACTTATAGTATAGTTCTTTATATAAATATTAAAGTATACTTACTATATAAGAGTAAGCTAATTATTTATCTAGCTATTAAAACTAACTTTAAGAATCTAGTTAGTATATAGGTCTTTAAACTAGATATTTATAAGTATCTTACTTATAAAGATAATAAAGAGAGATAGCTAGTAACTTAATTTATCTACGCTTTAAATTATAGTAACTTACTTATAGTTATCTAGCTATATATACTTCTTTTTACTAAAAAACTCTAAGAACATAATAACTATAAAAGCTAAGAACTCTAGATAAATAAAATATATTAGAATAATAGACTAATTAATCTACTAATCTAGATTAGTAGATTAGTAAGGCTATATATTATAAATCTACGTCTTACTACTTTTAGTAATCTATTCTATTAATTATATAATCTATTATTTAAACTATCTAATAAAGATTAGATATTTAAAAGATTTAATAAGTTATATAACTTAGTATAGATTGATTACTAATTAGATAGATTATATAACTTAGAGTAAATTAATTACTAATTTATCTATCTATTAATACTATTATATACTCTCTTAGACTAGAGATTATATAGTAATTATTTATAAGACTATATATTTTTATATATAGTAAACAATCAGACGGCAAGCCTGCATCAGGAAATCGACGCACCCTATTTAGGTAATCCGGGCCTCAAGAACGACTTTTATACTACGCTCAAATAGGAAACTAACATCTAACGTCTGTCATAAAACGCCTTCTCCCAACATCATTTTTTACCCCCTTCTTCGCCCAATACTCTCTACTCTCATCTCCTCTATCCACAATCCCCCGTCTGCGCCCAGTCGCCGTCCCTTCCTCACACGGTTAAACCATCCTTCAAGTGGCACCTTTCTCACACCCAGCTGCTATCTTGGAAGAAACAGGCCGCCTTGCTCCAGTGCCCCCTTTCCTCTCAATTGCTCGCCTGTCTCAGATTTCTTCGATCCTGATAGCGTCTGGTTACCCCAGTCTTCGCGCACACTGGGCCCTAACAATCTATGCACCTCTGAACCTTTTCCCGCGACTCAACATACAGCAATAGCGATGAATATACAATGTCTGGGTTCTGTTGATAGTTGCTGCACTGGCTTCATCCAGAGCCCATCTACGGCTAAAGGGGGCGTTTGCCCTTCGCAAGGTTCAGTCCCTTACGAACTGATTGATCAGCCTGTTTGCTTTCTCTTTTTTCTCTAGATCAGTAAGGCATCAGTGCTTCTGCAACGCACTACCTCAAGCATAGCTTAATCAAGGCAGTCTGCATGAGCTTCTATGCCGTAAACTCAGCTCTGGTTACTCTGGCTCCCACACCTTGCTCCGTTGGTGGAGCGCACCCTCCAATCTGCCTCCTTAGGCTGCGTCATGCCTGAGCGGGCTCTCTCCTTCTTGGATATGATTTCTCACCCGCATACGACGCTAGTCTTGCGCTCAAGGATCCATATTACTTCGCCACGCATAGCACGTCCGTAATGCCTGTAGTGTTGCATTGTTGGAGTGCGACAAGCAAGGGGCAGAAATCAGGAGATAGCCCGCTGGCGGCTAGGCATCGCCATTGGCGCAGCAAGTAAGAGATGAACAGAACCGTGCCCCTATCCTGCTCTGGTTGGAAGGACACAGTTTCCGGTCAATGGCGCCTATGTCTCAGCCCTGGCTACCCAACATTGCCTCCTTCAACTTTCGGTCCTTCTGCACAACATGCTGGCGAATCCGAGCTTCGTTGTCCACGTTCTGCTGGAGCTGGATCTGTTGGCGATGACGCGGTCAAACGCTTTTCCCCTCATTTGTGACGCTGCAGTGTGACCAGCAGGGACCGTTTGCATAGACGCCTGCAGTCAATAGCTCGGCGTCGGCATTCGATTGAGCATAGACTACAAGGCATGAGTACAGACGTCTCCGCCACCGTTTTGGCGGAATGCAGAGCGCGGTCCAATGGATAGCCTTCATGCTTGTGTCTTAGTTCTGGTTTCCAGCATCGTCACCCACACTCTTTCGGTCAAATAGATATCACGACCACTCCTTCTGGCGTAATTGGTTGTTCTAGGAACTGACCCGCTGATGGAATCATGCAAACCCTTGGAAGCTTTCACAGCAGCAGTTGAGTTAAGAGTAAGACACAATTAAATGAAGAAGGACGCGCCGGGGACACCGAGGCTAGCCTACTGCAATCGATTTAGCGTTCCGAGCTAGATGTTTGCTCACTTAGCGAGGTCTTTAGCTCACTAAGTGGTTTTCTACTTAAACTCCCAGATACTGCACTGTTGTTTCGGCCAGAGTTAATCAGATTCCATCAAAATCCTACCATGGCTACTTTTACTTCATTTCCTCAGAACACTTCATCTCAGTTCAGACATTACAACCCTACGTTACTCAAGCGTACGCAATCTAAGCCTAAGGCTAAGAAGACCGGGCAAGATGGTTGTAGAGATCATGGAGAAGTAGCAACTCAATCTTTAGGATTGCCACTCCAAGGTAATGTTTGCCTCCTAGTCGTGTAAGCAAATCAATGCAGACTAAGTCATTTCTAGAAAGCGAAAGTAACCGTCCCGTCGTCCCTCAACAGATATTACAGGTACAGACAACGAGCCATATGGAAGATGTTGAGGGTATGGACTCAGAAAAGTGCGATCTATTTGGAGCAGACCATAGAATAGGCACCCATGAGTTTGCAATGGGTGATAGTCACTATCAGCTTTGCCGTAATTTACGCGGTGAGGGCGTTATAGACCACGCAATATTGGGTTTAGGCTTGAATGAGTCGTTTGATGGGTGCGGTCAAGGCAAGTACTCGATTTGATTGTGGTGCTAATTTCACTGATGCCGGATAGACTTACATTCGATTACCGAAAGTGAAGTAACCAGCAATCACCACAACGCTACAAAGTTTCAGTTCAACAACGGTTCCCCCAAGTCTCAGGACAAAAGCCAGTATCTTACCACTGCCAACGGCAGGGACCACGCCAAAAAACAGCGCGGTGATCTCCATACAGCTGTAGAGTACGCTTTCTCTATAGAGGATTTTGAACGTACTTATCGCAGTGAGTGAAATTGCCTTATCAGTACATGGAGCTGCGTTGACGCAGTCAAATAAGGACCATCAGTGGAAGACGAAACGTTCTGCGGCATCGCTAGTGTGGTAAATGGATCATCAAACAGCCAAAAACGACCACATCAATCTTCGGTTGTTGATGAAACAATAACTATCCTGGAAGCAGTGCCGAACGCTGTGTCGGATCCAGAGCTTGATAGTCGTCGTCCATCGAAGCAGCGAAGAATTGCTGAGCAAGAGGCACGGAGCCCCACAATTGAACGTACATATATGCCCAAGCCAACGCCCTTGCCGCATCCTTACGACCAAGCTTCCCGTCTTGGTACTCGTAACAGCTCTATTCTCAGTTCTTTAGGTGCTGGCCACGAAGAATATTGTACCACAAGTCTAGCCCTGCCTCCAACTGATCTCTGCGGTGTAGAACATCGTGACGGCACTTATATCCAAGGATTGGTTGAAGAGCAACTACAAGCACGACAATCTATAGCCCTTTCCGAAGGATTGGAGCCAGAAGAAGACATCGGCCAAGAACCCTGTAGGAAAACTGGGGAAATCGTTCAAAAGAATCTCAGCCGCAATGGGTCATGTATCATCCCTTCATCTAGATCCCAACGACCTAGACGAAGGGCTTGGGCACCTGAGATGGGACGTGGGAATTCAAATACTGCTCTCAGATCACTGAACTACAATACAGCACCTACGAAGCCACCACAACAAAGTTCGATATCGGAGCAGTTCAACAGCGATAAAGGGTCTCAAAGTTATCTCTCAGAACCGAATTCCCTAGGCGCGACAGCCAAAGATGGAATTAACATCGACTTTGAATCGAGATCTAGCATGTCTTGTCAGATCACCGACCTAACACTTTGCGCTATTCCAAATGACTCTTCGGTCGTAACAGCAATATTGCATCTTCCCAACCCAAGTCATTCTCTCAACCTAGTACCCCTAGGTCACAAGGTCATTGGCGAACAAGGCAAAGTTATCCGCATGACTCAGTTATCGCCGGATTCATGGTTGCTGCTGGGATACCGGTATAACAGCAGTTCTGCAGATCTCCGTAACAGCGGGAGCTTGAATGAGAAGCGAATGAGCAGTCACGAAACGGACCACTCAAATGAGGGCTGGGACAAAGACGATGAGAATGAAGAGGAAGATATAAAAGAAAACAGCCAACGAACGCACAAGCCGTGGGTAGAGTCAGATGAGGTTCGTTTACTCTCATTGAAGGACAAACAGGGTATGGAGTGGGAAGAGATATATAAACGCTTCCCTAGTCGATCGCATGGTGCAGTAAAACTGCGCTACTACACATTGAAGAAACACTCCTAACGCCACGCCGATGTTCTTCAGTCTAGAAGTTTCGTATTCATGTTCGGATTGTGCAGCATAGAATTATATTGCTTGACAGTCTGAAACTTACTTGGAATCTGTGGGCGTTGTTTGCTGCTCAGTGTACAGTGATTTTCGATGTCGTCGCAAGGAGGAAGTCTGGATCTTTCTAACTATTGTTATTCTTTGACTGACAATGTCAAGCCTTTGTTTCAATAGATTGGTGATCTGCGTCTGGTATTTTGATGCAATAGATCTGGAAAGCTTAGAAAAAAGAAAACACTTAATTTAGGTTGGGGAACATTGTAGCTCTTTCTGCTTATTTATAATAACTAATTAAGTAGTTTTGTAATTTGTCTACTTATGCAGCACTGTTTCGCTATCACTTCTTTTGCGCTCCACATATTCAGGATGGAGGAATACTTTGAAATCATTCAACAGCTTGAGAAAAAAAGGATTGATTTCAAGAATGAGACGTACAGAAGCTCTATACCTCAAGATATTAAACGGCGAAAGGCCACATTACATGATGACGCTTATCACTTGTCTAGTAGCCGCAGAAGTATCCAATCTTAGCGTATAGGCTGTCAAAACACTTTCAACAAGAGCTTGGCGAAAAGGCAGTGCTACTTGTGCTTTTTCTGAAAGCTCAAGCCGACCTAGGCGAGATAGAATAAAAACCTCTTGTTGATGCAAAAGGAAATGGTGGGAGCAATTGAGCCATCCTGATGTACCGAAGATGATTACTTTCGAATATTTTTAGCTACGTCTTGAAAGAGTAGAAGATTTGGGAAGAACATCCACCAGTCAAAGTGCAGCCGCTGCATTTGGTGCGTTAGTCTAATTATCCTTTTGCCTTAAGCAAAACGATTGCCGCCCCAGCCTGGTACACACTTCCAATGATGAGAACATGAGCACCACAGTGACTATCAGAGTTGCTAACAATCAAGTTGATCGGCAGAGGAACCACCACCGCAACTTGACATCCAACGATGCGCAGCCATCCTTGCTGTGCGATACTACTGTCAAACTGTAGAAAAACCATGTAACTTGCAGAGCTTTTCTCTAGATAATATTTGAAATATCAAAATCTACCGCCGCCTGAGTTAATGCGTCCCGAGGATGCCGCCATTCCCAGCACTCTGATGAGCCCAATCCTCATGGTGGGTAGCGATTATTCGGCACTGTGGACACTGAAGTCATCGCTACAAACATCGAGGACGCCCCATCTCATGAGAAGATTGATCTTTGGCAGGACTTGGCTGAGAGAGCTGGTGTTGTAAAGAAATATCCGCATGAACGCGGTGCAAAAAACATCCAATATACGCCTCACCACATACAATGGAGAGCTACTGAAGTTTCTAGGATGAAGACACATAAAACAGTTGTTGAAGAGGCTCATCAAAAGCCACAGCTAGCCAACTGTGAAGCATATTTTGATAGCTAGCTTACTATGGGCCTAAATGCTCGAGACTGGCGCAACGTGCTTTGGTGTGACTAGATCTATTGTATGACTAGTCTAAAGTATCAGGCAGATCGGGCGTTTCGTCGTCCGGCATGGTATCTGGTGTTTGTCTTGGCCAAACCAGTCTGGTATCCTTGTGCATCATAGGTCGAACTGCGGTAACTACACATGGCAACTGAGAGCAAATGTAACCACCCCAATATGTTGCCATCCCTCTCATCCAGAAACGACCTTTCTTTTTGAATTCGTTAATACCTCGTTCCAGCCACTCGCTGTTTTCAGTGCCTGACTGGAGACTGGCGTGATGCATCGAAAACGATATCATACCGAGGTCCCAACTAGAAATTTCATCAAACTCTGCCACAGATGCAACGACGTCCCTCCAACGTACAACTGTTTCCATCCATTGTGGTTGATTCTTAGCTCGAAGGTGGAGGTTCTGTGCCAACTGAAGCAAGATCCTGATGTATCTTCTTCGATCGTGCCGGTCAAGTTGTGAGCTTTCTCCGAAGTGTTTCTTGAGGCCTAAGAGTATCCTCTCAGCTTCCTCATGGTTATGCGTCCAGATAAGCGCCTCAACATAAGATACATAGCAGTTTCTGTAGTATCTGTTGGTTTGACCCTTACTAAGATTGATTACCGGTCTCAGTTTTTCCAGCGCCTTTTTGGGGTTTCCAAGCTCGCAGTATACGTCAGTCAAGGTCGCTAAAACATCCAGGCGCGGGTGAACATCCTCATCGTATTGACGTAATGCCGATTCCAAGCTACTCATTGCATCCTGGAAGTTGCCTTGATGCAGCATTACCTTTCCGGTGCCCGTCAGTATTCTGGTTGACACTCTTGTTTCAAAAAGTGTCATGTCCCTATACTTGGGTGGTTGCCATTGTCCCCAGATAGTGACCGCCTCGTCGAATTTCTCCCTCTCCCACATATTTGACGCAAGTGAGTGGACAAGGAGGCCACGTACTGCGTTGAGCCGTGGATCAAGATCATTGGTGTTCATCGAACACAGCTGTTCTCGAATGACTAGAGACGACTCATCCCAGCGACCGTCCGATCTTAGGACATATGCCTTCCTGACGATAAAGGAAGCGTGCGTGTAGAGGTCCATGGCCTGGAGATCTTCAGACCCTATCTCGTCGATGCATTCTTTCTTCCAGGGAAGATCCGAAAATTTGGAAGCTTGCACAAGTGCCGGCAGAACCAGATTTTTAACTGAGTAGCGTTGGTCTTCGGGTTGTTGTTTGTATGCACGAAAGAAACCTTGGAACGACGGCAAAGCGCAGTTCCCAACTTCGGAAAATCGATTGGAATACTCACAGCCTGTGAAATAAAAACAAATGAGCGGCGCGGCCTGCCTCCATTGCGCCCATTCGATATCGAAATTGTGGAGTATATGGATTTTTCCACCGTATCGCTTGATGAGGCTCTTCGATTCCAATACACAGAGCTGACGGTCCAGCTTTTTAGCGTCGCGCAAAATTTCGATAGCCGCATAATCAAATCCTATGTCTCCTATAGAGAAATCTTCAAGCTCTCCAGAAGGGGTCCATCTTTTCCTTTTGGTACCAGCGTACAGTAACAAAGAGTATTCAACATGCGCTGATTGAGTGAGGACGTGCAGAATGTCGAGAAGATGCTTAGATGTATTGGACAACAATGAGGCTGAGAGATCGTGGGATTTCTCTGCTGTTGATCTTATGAGCTGCTGTAGGGCGGACGTTGCCGACGTGGGTGGAGACACTTCTGGATGAATAAGTGCAAACATGTTGTACTTTGTAACTGCGTCCAATTCGTGGTTTGTTATCGTCGGGCTAGGTGAAAGAGAACCGGAATAAAGATGGGTGAGAATATCGACTGGTCTACACGTCTGAGTATGTCATCATTCCCATTTGCTGAGTTCTGACTAACCTGATAAAAGGGTTCCAAAGTTCAACATATCGAAATAAGAGTAATCCAATGCACTCGACCTCCTTCGAGTCATCCTTCACGTTTTCAAATGCCTGTATGAAGCGATCGGCATTCTTGTCATGGCGCACGTGTTCATACTGAGACGGGGTGTCAGGAGAACCTACAAATGTTATTAGCTTTACATCTCATTCCAGGGAGGGCGAGCCCACTTAGAGCAACGACAGCGATGGCATGGCCAAGTTTCCAACCTCTTTCGCACAATCTCACTATCACCTTATCGTGGAACCACTTTGCTCCATGGAGAATGGAGCGACGATGACGGTAGTTGTCGGTTCGGCTTTCCAACACCATCATGATATTGTCGATCTCATCTGAGGACAAAGTACTATGAGTTTCGAGCACACATAATGCGGAGAGAAAGAAAAACAGTTCCGTTTGCGCCTTAGTCGCTGCGTAGGTGGCATTTCGAAGACTGTGTGCTGCTCTTTCAGCCAATGTTTTGCCTCTTTCAAATAACGAACCTTGTGGCTCTGATGATTCAATGTTCTGCGAACGAAAACGTTCCGCGCTGAACTTGCCCTTCTTGACGTTAGCAATGACTCTTTGTCCCGCTGCGATCCACCGTGGCGCCTGCTGGTGTTTTTTGCGAGACGGTCGAGGCACACAATCAAGACCTCTCTTTTTGCTAATGTTGTTCGACTTCGCGGGCTCATAAGGGACAATTTCGAGATCTGGGGATTGTTGATGGTTTGGAAAGCATCGAATCTGAGTTGGCGAGAGTTGTGAAACAGGATTTGAAAGAAGCTGGTCAACTGCGGCCTTGGAAACAGCGCTCGCGGGAACTTCAGCGGTAGGGTATATTGTATTTTGTTGTTCGTAGGCCTCAAGTTTGCCCTCTAGTTCGGCGATCTTCCTCCTGTAAGTATCGAGCTGAGCTTCATAGGTTTTGATTTTTGCGTTGAGTCGAACGAATTCTTCTTTGTCGTACATTATGTGGAAGGGAAGATTCATTCATTGAATGAGGATGGCAGATGCAGTAGCAAGGGAGAGCCCTAACTCCTTTAGGGGACACCAGCTGGTGTCCCCTAAAGGAGTTAGCTTGCTGTTCGACAAGAAACTAAACCAAGCGAAGCGGTGTGCTTGTGGCCTGATAAATAGCGCTTACCGCAAGAGGTCCGCTAACCACACCCTTGAGACAGTTTCCTCACGACACTGTCGCATCATGCATGCACGTTCGGATGGTCTCGGTTGATATTACTCCAGAAATTACTTTACATCCACATTAGGCGATCATGCCCATCAGGGTTAGGTTTGGTTTAAATGCATCACTACCGCGCTTGTCAATTCTTGATTGCTTCATCACCTTACCAAACCCGCGGTACCGCCCTGCATGAATCTGATCGGCGTAGCGTTCAGTAAGAGGCTTTTCCGCTGCAGGCCTCGTAAGCTGCGAAGGGCCTGGCATCACCTAGTCTGCCATGCTTATCTAGGGAAACTGTCAACCGATGAGATATTCTGCTATGTGGTTGGATTGTGCAAACTCACGATATTCAACGCCCAGCCAGGCTATCGGGGCCGTGCCGCGTGGTTTGGCTCGTACCGACGCTCCCGTCCGTGTCGTTCGTCGGCAAGAACCCTGACCAGAGTCACTTCCCGGAAAGCAATGGCCACTCATTATCTGGAGCGTTTTCAAAAGTACAACCCAGTCAGTTGAACGACTGGGATCCTCATATATCATGCAACCTTCCTGCAAGGCTAAGACGTCCTTCTTTTCATTGCCTTACCGCTCTTGCGTCCTCCACCGGTTGCCTTCTTTCAAGTTCGGTTTGCTAGCAAAATGGCCCAAGCTTCTGCAGATGCATCTTCGGTATGTGGATTGTCACTATCTTTTGATCTAAACTCTGAAGAATAAGAAAGAAGCTAACCATACAGCCTGATTCCTTCGAAAACCAACTACGTCAAGACAGCGTTGTCATTCACCCTAATTGTAAGACACTTTTTTGTCGAACTCTCCTCAGAATCCAATCAAACATGAATGCTAACATATCAAAGCGAACAGGAACTACCAATGCCAGCGTTGTCTGAAATCCTTTCCCTGCCACGAGCCATACTTGTACCACGCAAGCAAGCATGGCGATACCATCGAGTATATTTGTTTTGAGTTCAATCAGTCGGCTTCCTTGGCGCCCGATATCATTGCCTTTCATGGTGTTTATTGCCGTCGCAGTACCCACTATGTTCGAGTAACTATATCGAGATTCTTGGGACACACCTCTACAATACAGCGGATAGACGAAGAAGAGGAGTTGACCTTTGAAGAATTTCTCAAAACAGATTTCACTTCTACGGAAAGGTACACAGAAACAGTAAAAAGGGTGGAAGAGTTCGATAGGCAATGTTGCAGGCCGATTTACGATACGATCACAGTAAGGGCCTTGGAACATCTATCCTTGAATGCGGGACCTAATTTTATGCAGTTCAGTAGCAAGAAACTAGTAAAAAGGCTACTATCATGCTTTTCATGTATTCCACTCCCGAGACAGTCAAGGTCTAGTCGTTGGCCTAGCACACGACACATGAGATCGACACTACTTGGTCCGTCAACTAAGGATATTACTGCCAATAGCTGGCAATGTCTGGCTACTGATGGTCCAAAATCAATCGCAAGCCAGCCTAGGACACCGGAAACGAGACTAAATTCTCCGCATCCGTCGATTGAAGCTACCAGTGCCAACAACAGGCAAGATCCGGTTGCTGATGATCCAGTCTCAATTGTAAGTCAGACCACTCCTGTGTATACTACTCCTGGGTGATTACTTATACCACCCCCCTTTCAGGCAAGAAATAGTCTTCCTGAGAATGTATCTGGGGTGATAGCTGTAGATTCTTTCTACTCAACTCCTAATGGTGTTCGCGGCGACAAGGTACTTGTCGCAACCCAGCCAGACACTATAATCCTCTTGGAGCAAGTTAATCTTGACACGCTTCTTCGATACACGCGCATCACGAACCAACTACGAGAGATTGTTGGTGACTATGCCTACGAGGAGCTACGGGAGTATGAAGAGAAGCGAATGGATATCTCGGATCCTGTTTACCAGGGCATTCTACCAGATGATTTGCCAATTAGAGCAGGCGAAGAAATTCGATTAGAAGACTGCTCTCCAATGCTTGAAGCGCAAGTTCGCTCTATTCTTGACTCATAGGTCACCTTGTAATATAATCTCGTATTTCTCAGTATCACAGCGCACCTTTTCATTAGCATCTTTTCTATGCTATCATATGCGGGTATCCTCCAACTACATCGGAAACGTGACATTCTAGATCGCTACAAGCAGATCATGCTTGGCAATTAATAAGACTTTGTCATGATTGCAATTGTTGAGGAAATACTGACAAGTTTGGTCCTGAGCATCTCTTGAAAGGTATTAGCGTGACATATCGTCGAGCCGAGAGGAAAATAAGGACGATGCGGGGAAATGTGGCGTATTTGTGCCGATGTGGGCTATGTCTTACTTTTCCCTTCAACAGATTGGTGCCGAACTTTTTTTAATAGCTCTGGACATCTGACTTTGCATAAATACCAACATTAGCTTCCAATTTCCATAAATTGCACTGGCTCCGGATTTCTAACAATCCTGGCCACCATTAGTTACTGCCCCTTATCAGTACCACTCTCTACCTTCTAAATTCATTCAAAAGCTTCTAGAAATTCTCACAGAGTATTACCTCTTAAAACCTTCACAGTTCGGCTCTAATATAGCCTTAGTCTTTCGGCGAGATGTCTCTTCTACCTGCTCTGGATGCACAAGATCAAAACTCAAGTTCCGCCAACGAGGAATCATTCGGAACTTCCAGGCTTCGAGTTTCAGAAGCTTGCAAGAAATGCCGCAGTCGCAAGATGAGATGCAATGGATTACGTCCATGCGAGGGATGCCGTCATAACCGCATAGAGTGCGTGTATGAGGACGTTAAACCATCCAAGTATGTCGCTATCACTAGCATTATCAGTCTTTATTAACATTGTACAGACAGCAAAAATCTTTAAACAGCTTGCACAGTGCCCTCACTGCTGCGTACAAAGAGCTTCGCGGAATACACAGCGACTTGGGAGGGCTCAACAGAGGTCATTTCAACTTACAGTTCATACCACTTGACCCTGAACGAGAGCATGGAACAAAAGCGTTCTTGCCCAAAGAGTTACATCGGCTTTCTCAGTCTTATCTCAAGAATGTGCATGCTTTGCACCCATTTTTTGAAGAACCTCAGGAGATGTGCAATGAATTCATCGGCGATCCAGTAGTGCGGAGAGGAATTATTATGCCGTCCCTAAGGAATGCCCACGTACTCCTCATTTTCGCATTAGGGAGCTGTCAATCAACCACCAACAACACAGGAAGCCCAAGTACCTTACCGGGCGAAGTGTATTACTCTCATGCGAAAGCTATCCTCAGGTACACAATCGGGGAGTGTAATACTCACGTTGCCCAGGCCTTAACTCTGGCTACACTATACACGAACCAAAACGGAATGCTTCAAGACAGCTTGGCGCACCTTTGCAATGCTCGCGACATATACACAGATGTTTTCAAGAAGTAAGACTAGTGATCATTACCTACAAGTTTAGGCTCATAGTATGTAGCAGTACTTCCATTTCTGAGGAGGCAAAGAGGGGTTTCTGGATTTATCAGGATCTAGCACGGTAAGTTGCTGACCCAAACCTGTATACTCTTTTGACTTTCCTTCTAGCGGTATCAGCAACTGCTTCAATTGCGCCTCGTTTGGTTCTGTCCCCAACTACCGGAGCACATTACTTCCAGAGGGAAACGTGGGACAGTTTCCTGAGAGAGTTTACTGGACGAAAGTGAATCTCCGAATTCTACTTGACGCTTTGAGCGATTTTGCGCGCCCGTATTTCCCACAAACGAGGGAAATGGATGAAGAGGACCTATGTGCTCTTGGGAGCGTCGCAAACGAGCAAATTAAGATGTTGGGAGAATGGAGATCAAGTTTAATCTCACGATTGACCTGGGTTGATACAGAACCTTCATCAACTGATCCTCTGATAGCTTCGCTACGAGCAGCGTACTACGAGGGTATGGCTAAGTTGTTGAGGCCATACGTGGGCATCGCAGAATATGCACTGCATTCCTATGTCCACTCTCCAGAGGATGTATTATCGAAAGGCCAGCAAGATATTCTCAAAGTCTTCCTGAATTGGGAGAAATATGCTCTCTTAACTGTTGAGTACTTTGATCGCATCGGTGCGGCTTCTGACAACATGTATGAGACATGTCAAAACACAAGTGGTAGCTCAATAATGTTGAGCAACCCTGTCAGCACACTTCACACGTAAGTTGCTTAATAATCCACAAATTATCTCTAATATGTACTAGTTAACACTTTACAGAGAATTTAAAATAGTCTTCCTTTTTCGCGTTATTCGTTCCTCTGCAAATTATCCATTGATTGCGGAGCAAACAAAACTCACAGCTACGACTATAGATGCCCTTCGTCGCCGCACTATCAAAAGATTGTCCGAGTTTTGGCCGAGTCATCCAATCCTATCTCGAGATCTTGAGGCTTTGAACCGGCTTTGGTTACCAGGAGACTCAGTGCCGTTGATGGAGCTAGTTAGAGCATATGATCTGGTATAAGTAGTCCTGGAACGGAAAAGGTCTGGTCTGCGTATCATTTTGAGTCACTTCTTGATTCGCACGTATACTAAGCTCGACATAATTTCATCTTTTTATTAAATCTTGCCTCACAAAAGACTACGGACCTGGCTATAGCAAAAGCTAATGATGAACCTGCATACACGATTCCATGGTCGAAAAACGAAAAGAGGCTCCACTCTAGAGTATTACTAGTTTGAGACTATCGAGGCCAGGGCCTGGTCAGCAAGGCCTTTATTGGACAGAACACACCTAAATAATCTCTTATCAAGCAGCAATTTCACTAAGAAAAAGCTAGTTAGTGATACTGTTCCAAGACGTAAAGTGACCGAGTGGGTCTATACGAGGATTCAATTAATCTAGTCAAGGGCCTTTTTATTCTAGGCTTGCTGCACTTTAATTGCATCTCACAATAATGCATCTTACTGCCATATCCAAGAGTATATATTCATCCCATATTGGAAACACACAAACTCCATAGCCCCAGTATCCTGATCTATTGGTATGGCGAATAACACCCCTAACATTAGAGCCGCGCTACAGACTATCAGTCAAGCGTCCACTGAGTTGCTCGCACCACACATCTTGGAGCTATGCGAAGCTAACACTGCTATTGCAAAGGCTATCTTATCTCTTAGTGGAAATTTTTGCGAAGAAATTGGGCAACTGGAAACTCCAACTAAGGACTTAGCAACGCCAGAAAATACTGACCTTGCAAGTTCTCAGGCTCAGCCTCCAACCATCTTGAGAGACAATACATGGCAGGATGCGTCCCAGGGAACATTGCAGCAGTATAGGGCTCGGCGTAGCCGACCAGAAAATGCAATTGTGAGACTTGCACAGTACTGGGTTCAGAGAAGACTGGGAGGAACCAGTGTACTGAATGTCGTAGATGAACACGGGGTATTAGATGATTTACGTAAGGCTGTAATTTCAAGTACTCCCGTATTTCTAGCACTGGTAAGAAGTATCAAGAAAAGAAGGTCTGCTGCCAACTCGCGACGCTAGTGAATGCGCGTATAGTAGCTACTTCAAGTGTTAATATCGCTGCTGTTGTCGTCTGTGCACATTATTTGGTTGGGCAATATGAACACGTCGAAGACTCTCCAAGGCTTTGCCCCCTCGGCGGCCACTGGAGCAGGCGCTGTGGCGTTGAATGGGCAAGGGTGTTGTGCAGGCCTTTCACCGCTGGCTCGACGCCTGAATTGGTTGCCTACTTCTCCATGGTCTAGCTCCAAGCTCCTGATTATCGCGCCACATGATGAAAAAAAATCTTAGATAAATTGAAGTATTTTCTATTTCATCTTTCGCGCAAATCTACCCATCCCAACTTCCACAAACAAGGATTATTCATTACCTAACTAGATCCAGTATAAGCAAAATTCTCAATATGGAGCCCACAGAGATTATAGCGTCTGTGAACCGGGAGAACACCGAGTTGCAGAACCAAAACCATCGACTTCTCGGCAAGGTTCAAGAAATTCAGGCTCAACTTTCTGAAGCGCATACGCTAAACAACTTGTTCCAACATACATTCCAAGCCCAGGCTTTTGAGATCTACACGGCTACTGAGACGATCAACAACCTCCACCATTATATCAACTTTCTACAAAGTTATATAGCTCACGTTGAACACCAATCAGAGCAAGCAATGCTTGCATGCAGGCAGACGACCGAGTATTATGAACGAGAAATTGCCGCCGGAAGCTGGTCGCGTCACCAGTGGAGCCAGGAAGCGGCAAATCTCAGTTCCAGCGCAAGGGATCTCCACCACAGTGCCTTCGCCAACTTCAAGGCTAGCAATACAAGTGACGAACAGAAAAAGGATCTTATACAGAAGATCATGGAAATTGAGTCTACCGTTTTGTTGAAAGAAATCCAGAAAAACAACCTTAAGCATGCCCTTGAGAATAACAGAGCTCGTCTAAAGAAGGTTTGCATCACATCTTCTAAGATGATCGAGACTCGGGATGAGTTGAATCGCAAACTTGCCGAGACAAACGTTGTGCTTCGCTCGAAAGCGGGAAAGAGCGCGCACGCTCTTAGTGTGGCTAAGAAGGAAAAGGAAAGCTTACAAAGGAAGATCGAGGATGCGGAGGAGGAATTACAAAAGTGTCGGGAAACAGAGGAGCAACTGAACGAGGCCATCGAAAGGGAAGTACAACTTCAGCGTGAATGCCAGCTTTCACTTGCCGAAGCAGAAGGTCTCCGAATTTCGAATGACTTCTACAAGCGCGAGGATGCAAATCAAACGCAAACTATTTCTAGCTTAAAAAGACTAGTAGTAAACTTGCAGAATACGGACCGGAACGAAGGCTTCACCAAAACTGTTGCCAATCACAAGGCTGAGATTGTGCAGCTTGTTGCGAATCAGACCCGACTTGAAGACGAGATTCGGAAGCAGAAAAGTATCGTTACTAAGTCTTTAGCCAAGATGGTAGAACAAGTTGAGATTACGAACGAGGCAAAGAAGGAGGTGGCTACTTACAAAGGACATGCTCTAGCTACAAGCCACTCGCTGCTAGTCAGCCTATCGCACACGAAGTTCGAAGTTGCCAAAGAAATTGTTGATAATGTTTTCGAAGGGTTAAAAGATATTGATTCAAAGAAGAAGGCAACACAAGCGATTCACACCATCAATGGCTATCTTGAAAGACAACTCAAAACGGTCGAAGACTACACCACGAATACAATTTCAAGCAGTGCTGAGGTACGGGAACTGATAAGAGATCTTCAGAATCAGACTCCAAAGGAAGCAAAGCCAGATAAGACAGAGGGTTTCATTGAGTATGTACGAGGGTTGCAGCATAGCCTCGAGGCAGAAGCTGCGGAGAAGACGAACAAGCTTGATGTCTAGGACAAACATTCATTAGCTAGTGCAAATAGGTATAACCAGAAGTGCAGGTCCTGCGACTCGCTCTGAACTCATGGAACAACATCGTTATTAAGCGTCAGAATTTGGCTTTACCTAGCTCGGCCTGACTGCTTGAATCACTTGCAACAGGCTCGGACTTGAGCGTCCTACCTCCACAGTATTCTGGCCACCAGTTTGTTCCTCTCTTATCCATATCTTTGGCTTCAGGTACCGCGTTATCCAGATCTCCATATCCTGACCTCTGAATACTCATCTGCAAAAAATCGCCGGATACTTTGTGGATAGGCTGGTCGCTGAGATGACCACCGAGTTATTTGATATAGTCCCCGTGTCCACGGTTCTTGCCATGTATTATCTTTTGGCTGTTTGATACTAGAAATTGCACGGCTTCGTTGCCTGTAGCGTAGTTGTCGATAACGCTTACGTTTTCTTTTAAATTTTGTTCTGCTTGGGAACAAATATCTCTGCATTTACGAGTACTTGTCCATTCTTCGCGCAATTTTGCAAGGGATCTTATATCTTCTTATGTCACTGTTACGCTTGAGCTGACCATCATTCGATCTAAGATGTTTTGCATGTGAGTTTCCAATTTCGCACTTGTTTGCTCCATAGTAATTCTGCATTCTCGAATGCTATCGCTCGTGATCTTCTCAGGTATGCTGTCTACGCCTTGGGGAAAATCCTTTGCTGATGATGATTGAAGCTGCTGGATGAGCGTGGAGAACTGAGCGCAAATCAGAAGGCATTTTTGCGTGCTTGAGCGCTCCTCCTTCAATCTTTGAAGCTCTGGTGTTGCCGAGCTTGACATAGTGCGCTCTACTAAAGATTGGAGCTTTTCATCGATCGTTTCGAGTCGCGCCTCAAGATCGTTCTTTGCTGTTGTGATAAGATCCTTGTAATCTCCAAGACGCTCCAGAGCAACAGAAGACTTGCGACTAAAGGAGATTAGTTAGCTCTAGCATGTGAGGTCGGGCATAGAATTATGGAACTTAAAGCTGCACGTCTGTGAGCGCGATATTGATTGTTGACTTGTATGCTGCTAGTGAATCTGTGAAATTATCGATGTCGTCACCCATATATTTCAGTTTTGCCCAGTCTCGAAAACTTGCCAGAGAACCATAAAATTGCTTAGTAGCATCTTTCACAACCATGTTGAATTCTATACAAGCACATCCACATCTGAAGAGAGGAAGCTTTAGAAGTGTGAAGTCTGCCTCATCATCCAGGATAGCCTGGTGTAGAGACGCTAACACTAGACTCAGCACATCTAATTCTGCTTTCAGCTCTCTCACATATTTTTGATGATTGTTGAGTTCTTTGAGGGTCTGGTACAGCGTAGAGCTCGACTTGATACCGAAGGTAACGAGCGTAATGATGGCCGATACTGCGCTGATTGGGTCCGCCATCTTGAGGATAGTTAACGAAAATAGCGCAGTCGTAGTGCGAAACGACGTTGGTAAATACAGTCCGATGATAGAGCGATGACGCGAACAGAATTTGCTGTTTGTGGGGTAACGCAAACAAGAAAGAGCCAATCAAAACACTTTTTGAATGCAGCGACCATCAGAGCCCAGGTTTCATCACTCAGAGCTGCGTTCTTTGATGAATCCGCTAATAAGAAACTACGAGCTTGCAGCAACTGTTACGTTGGTAGGAATTATGGAGTAGTTGGAGTCGACATTCGAGTCTCGTGATGTGCAGGACGTATAACGTCCGTCCCTGGGTAGTGGAGCACCCTGTGTGGTGAGGACATCCTACGTGGCGGGACGCTACAGACACCCCATACAACAAATATAATAATAAGCCAGAGGAGCAGAAACTATTAGAATAGCAGTCTTAAGCTACATGACTGTAGCTTAGATACAACATAACAACCGTTCCCATTGTTACATCTTCAAACGCCTCAATCCCACCGTATTCTAGTATGACAGTACCAAGGTCCGTTTCAGAATCACAGCCATTCTCAGACCTTCAGCGATGATAATATCTAACCGTGACTCTCACGGCCGCTGATAGCACGCCATGGGTCTGTATCGAAGACAGGGAGACTCCGTGGCCTATCAGATGTGAATGGATCGTCAAAGCTCCAACGACATCTGGCCGGCTTATCCCAAGCGTTCTTAGAGTCGCGAAGGAACATGCGCAACAAATGACGGGTACTAGCACCTTCGCCAGCACCACAGTATTCTGCACGAGCATGCATAATGCTCAAATTATGGAAAAGCTGAATGTCTCCTTGTTGACGGTCGACTTTTGTGCAGAATTGCCTGGCTAGCTCTTCGACAACGCGCATTGCATCCGATTGCTTCTTCGTAACCTGAGGCATAGAGGGGTCACGTGGGATATTGCTTGTACCAAGAAGTGGAGCCTTTACGAGCTGGCACATAGGTTTGCCTTTCGAGAAGAAGAGCGTAGAGCCCAACTCGAGGTAGGGTGCTCCATCCCTAAGCCTTGTCAGTAGAAGTTCGTTTTCGTATATTGCTAGCAGAGAATAATAGAGCTCACTTCTTTTTCAGCTCAAAAGGCCAATTTGGCTCTGCCATTGTTTCTAGAACCCCAGGGTCTCTTTTTAGGAGTTCGTTGTAGATCTTTGGAAAGCTCGCGACAAACTGTTCGCCCCCAGTACCAGAGCCGCCATCATTGCGCACATGAAGAGCAATTACGTCGCCTGAGAAGCGATCACTGTGGAATTCCATGGATGAGGTCACCTTAGAGCCAGCTAAACCAATACCTTGGCAACCTTCTGGGATCTGCCTTTTGGTAACGTCAATAATGTGGCTTAGCGTCTGATTGGCATAAGAGTCAGTTGCTCGTTCCGGGCAAATGTACGAACAGATACCAGCGAAAGCGATAACGGCCTCTTCATCGTTAAAATGAGCAGAATCTAGACCTCGCAGAACAACAACACCTTTACCGTGATGGAGCTCTCTGCTGATAGATGAGAACATCTTCATCAAATCCAGGTTGCTAAGAACGAAAGTGTTCGTGCTTATCTTTGCGCGCGGAAGTCCAGTGACTGGAATGGGAATTAGGTCTTGCTTTATTAAATAATGATATTGGATACTTAAGCTTGAATCTGATTACAGCTGCTCTAATATCCAGGATATGACGATCATCGAGCTTGACTACGTACTCGGTTGAACTGATCTCATCTCCCTGCCATACGAGAGAGCCAGAAACGGCCGGAGCGAGAATTTTGGATGGATCAAGAACAGACGATTTCCCTTCCAGGCATTCATGAGAAGAAATCGTATTAGAAACCTGAAATGACATTGGCATTCGTCCAATCTAGTTAAAGGCTATTGAGATTATACAAAAAATCAACAATGGCGACAGTACTAAAGTGTGTGGAGAAAGACCAATAGTAAATCTGAGTTGCGAAAATGTCCAGACAGCACTTGACAAGACGCTTGCCACCTTTAGTAGTGCCGGAAAGATCGGTAATCCATACCCATTTAAGCGTCCCCACCGCTATCCATCAGGTCGTCCTCCCAGCCCCACCCCCTTCTCATTGATGCACGTCAGTAAGCCTCCGCGGAGAAAGAACACATCTCAGTAGTATCTCTCGGCGACGTCGAGAATAGGATCGACGTGGAGCAGCGGAATGTGACGTGAATGTTCTGTTAATGATTTAATCTGTAAGAAGCCATATGAATTCATTTTTGCCAATCGTTATCTTACACAACGTTAGTCCTATATCTAAACATGATCGTACTAGCGGTAGTTACACGATTCTTGTAGAGCGTCATTCGGATGTCCAAGAACGCTATTACAGGACATGTATCATTTGATCTAAACGTGTAATCTTTCAGACGCTACAGTTAATAGTACGATAAGCATGTCTCATCTCTACAGCTCTAGGTCAGCGCTAATGAGGCCCAAATTACTACTAGCATTGCAAGGCTGAGTTGCACAGATTTGAGTATATAGAAAGGGCAAAGATCTCATATTCAGGCTTCTCAACTCTTAATTTGTGCGATTTTATTTTCAAATTAAGCTAGGGTAGGATCAAATGTGTACTTTATCTGATGCATCACGATGGTAATGGCGGACACCAATATACGTCATAGACTAAATCACATATTCACCTTAGTCGGATTTAAACGGATGGGTGACATGGGGTCGCAAATACAATTTAGCACAGGATGGTCGCTCGCTAATCACCTACCGCAGTAAAATAGTCGGATAGCACATACCTAGATGGCAGGAGCCGTCTGAAGTGATGATGAACTAGGTAGCCACGACTAGCGACGGAAAGCTATTTTACAATTTTCCACTGTCCAGACCTTACAGGAAATACTCGGAAAATAGGTACAAAAGCTGGTTTCCCTCTCTATACGGTGAAAAACCCAGTGAGGCGAAAGAAACTGATAAGAGTGCAAAGGTAGCACATGTCTTGACCTGACGCAGCGTCTTATTAGTTGTTTTTGACCCACCGGAGTTTTCGCCGCACCAGGAGGGACGTTACTCATAGTATAGTGCCGCGGAGGAGAATTCGCCGAGGACAGATTACGATTCTTGGTAACTCGAGGAGCGCACTTCAGGTCAAAGCTTTTTTCGTATCGAGGTCACGTTCTAGAGCTAATGTCAGGGATCGTGGCCCTCGTGGCGGTCTTTTTTAGGAAGTTCGCGTCGAAATGGAGCTTACTGGATTGCGTTATGATTGGTCGAGCTTAAGTGACGCATTACATAATGTCGCATGCGCAGGTATGGGGTGTGTGTTTATCTGTGGTGTATAGCTATTGTTTTTTCTTGTTGAGGTGGTGGCTTGCTGCTTTGGTTCGGCTGAAGTCATTGCTTCTGCGGCCTTGCATACGTTGCGACACCAATCTATATTGTAACAGAGTAACGAGTAACAATCCTGTCAGGAAAAGAGCTTGTAAGAAAGTACAACTTGAGATAATCACGACGTGTGTGATAATGAAATTCGGTTATCCTTTATCCCCAATGTCTCGGGCACCCAGCATTCCGCCAAGGGATGACCTGTTTTGGTGTGTGACAAGATCACCTGATCCTCACCCGGCAATGGGAGGCTTGACTGTGTGATAGATCACGCTAGCGCGCATCACCTCGGCGACTAGCTCTACCTACGCAGCAAGTACCGCTCGTTACATACATGCAGCGCCAATTTGGCGAGCTGGTGAATTATGAGCCCCTTCTTAAGATCAACAAATCAAGCCACGAATTAGAAGTGATGCGCGAAAAGGCTTTTCTTACCGCCAAGATCTGCGGTTTCCTATTTACCGATTGGACGTCCCTGAAGTTTCATTATCACCCTTGGCGTCCTCTTGGTTCCGCTTCCCGGGCTACCCCTGTAGGGCTACGCTAAAGTGTACCTAATTAGTCTATATTGGACCAAGAGCTTGATCCTTTCTCGCCCTCATAAGCTATTTAGAATGTCTCAGTCTGCCTCATCCAGCATTACCCTGCCATATATTCGTGTCTGCCTCTAGCAGTAACACCATTCGCCCCTCCTTGCTTTCCCCGTTATAGTGTGACCATTCGAAGGTTTCTTGTTCATTAGAGATTACGATGAATGAATCGATTCTTGCACGCTATGCTGAATTTTTTAATCAGCCTTTGGTAAACTCTGAACTTTATACTCAGGTCAATGAGGTATAGAAAACTCTACCTTCCCTTGCAATGCAGTTAACTCTGCTAGATGTTAGACAACTCTAGGCTCATCGCTGAGTTCTCTCAATTCTATAGACAACGAATGCATGAAAACGAATGCACAAGCATTACTTGCCAATCGGTTCCTACACTGGAAGAGATAAAATATATGTTGAAGCAGGAGGAAAAGATCCGGATGTCCCTCAAGCATGTACGGGATATCGTTCTCAGTCATCACCAGAGTACTCTGGTATTTGCGACCGAAGATTGTGAGCTTATATAGGACATTGCAATAAGGGAGCTAGAGCTAGTATGGCTCCTTGGTCTGAGCAAAGCTGAGAATTAGCGCTGATAGTCTGCAACAGGATAACGGGAGTCAGCGCTGAGAACAGGCTGGCGACTTCCTGATGGCGGTTGGCGTCAAATCAGCTCTACTCCAACTTCCAAAGTCATGGAGGAGAAGATTCTTCAGGGCTCTGATCACTCCATGATCGTCGCATACGATGCACGGAATAATCGAGGATATACTAGTGCATAGGACAAGCTTCAACAGTTGGAGAAGAATGCTCCGAGCATGATCCTGGGTCAGTTTGTAGATAGAGCCGGATATATTGCGTTTTACTAAGATATCTACTCATTTTACGCGTCGGCCATGGCAGAAGTCGTGTGATACTCCTGCACGCGTTTACTGCAGGTACACGGACCCCACCTGAATCCGAGTCCGTCTCTCCTCCACCACGTTTCTGTTGATAATGGATTCAGCGTGTGATGGCAGGCCGCCTCGGCGATGAAGGAGATAGAGATGTAGCACAGTGTAGCCTTCTTCTGCTTCTGTCGTAATCCTAATCTTGATCTTGTGTGGATGCTGGCTCTCTACGAAGCCTCAGGTTGTGCTACTCTACCTGACTAGCTCTTCCCAGCTTCAAAAAGCTTCATTACAAGCCCCCCACTGTACTTGTATACTCTCAACCGTCTACGGATGCGTTGAACGCTTGCATCTTCCAGGAGGACGCGTACGCAGCGGGAAGAAGCCTTAATTAGCGTGCCGCTGACTCTTGCCATCTAATGCATTGAGAAGTGTGCTTTGACGTTGCAATATCAGGGCTGCACCTTGTCTAGTTACAGTCTTTCTATACTTCCTCGATCAGTCTCTGCTTACTTCCCACTTCCACTTAATTGCGATAGCGTGGTTGAGACTAGCTAGTGCCTGCTGTTTTTTAGTGCTTGCAAACAGATGAGACACGAATCATGTGCGAAGGGTTGATAGGTTGCAGCTCAACTCGCGAGGAAGCATCGTTGTTGTCCACCAATCTCGGGAACGTAGCTGTGGGGTCGAGACTATGTGTTTCGCTTCTTTTCTTTGGGAAAAAATTAGTTTGCCTGCTACTGTCGCACTGATAGCTGGAGTGAGTAGTCTTTCTTGACTTCCTGAACAAAGGACACATGAGGGGAATGCATGCCAGAGCGATCGCGACCGAAGGCTCAAGACCGGAAAGATTTGTGGCGAGCACACCGCTGTACGTCATATCCGCGAAGTCTAAACCAGGTAGTAGTGTTTGTCGGTATATATTAATGGCCCAAGTTCTGCCCTGGCTGTCAGCATCAATAATAGAAGAAGAGCTGTGCAACAGCGCGCACTTACCCTGTTCCAACGCTAAGCAAGGCCATCGCGGCTAACTTCTCGTGCCAAGCCAGTCGCAAGTTGTAAAGATATGGCATTGGTAATACGATAATCACGGCATCCGTGAGGAGGTTGACGAGCCCCATTGCGAAATAAAACGCTGGTTGACTACCGCAAATTCCCGGTAACGTAAAGTTCCAATTCTTCGCCAGCGGTCGGCATATTAACAAAGCAGTAATAACGTCGGCCACATTCCACGTTATGATCAAAGTGCCGAGAACACGGGTCCGCTTTAAAATTGACGACGTTGGTATCAGCGCCGGATACATCAATAGAACCGACAATTTGCTGAAACACACAGTGGCGTTCCACAGTATCGAAAAAGACATGATTCCCTACAGCGAAAAGGCAGTCAGAGGTTGCGAAGTTAGGAAGGGCCACTTATTAAGCTCACCTTGAAGAAAAGGGTTGCCGTCTCAGGCCCAAAACGTTGGTAAATCTCCACGATATGAAATCCAAAGCCGCCATGTGTAACTAGTGAGATACAACAAGCTTGCAGTGCAGTGTTACAAAGCTAGTAGTCATGTCAGAACAGATGTGATTCCTTTATGGATGTTTGACCTACTAAGGCTGCAATAATGCAATAATCACTATAATCGATTTTGTTCCCGATGCTTCTGGCAACAAGGCGCAGACCTACAGAGACAATGGCTATTAAGATAGAGATGAAGGAGGTCACTGTAATGCTGACTTGTTGGCCATTCTCGATGGAGATCATCCCTGTCATCATGAGGTGAAGTTTGGCTTGGTGAATCTGTTGTGTAAAAGTGGCCAAGAAGCGACGTAGCTTAAACAGACGCAGTTGGGTTCATTTATGTGGGACCAGAGCTCAAAAGGTAGCCATAGAATTGCTTTCTCGAGTGTCCATCAAAAGACTTGAGCTCGCAATATCCCGAAGGAAGTGCTTTTTGTTTCAATACCTGGGACATTGAGGGACGGCTTGTGGACTCGACAGCCTGGAGCTAATAACCAATAACGACATAAGATACTATAAAAACCAATGGGAGCAAGTCCGCGGACTCTGTCTCTGCATATGACATTTATTGTGGGTTGGTGATGACATTGCTTTTTGGGGATCGTGCTTACATGGCATCTGCGGCCTGAAGGCGCAACTCGTGAAAACTGGGGCTAGCGCATGCACACCACCAACGCGAAACTAGTTATAATACATTTTCTACAAGTTCTCGAGCTTGTCTGCCGCAAATACTGAACTCTATCTTGTTTTCTCAATCTCTGTAAGGGCTTGCCCCACCAAGAGAGATGTATCAAGAGAAGCGTTTGTGACGCAACCTCGTTGTTCCTATCTACGTTCATATCACAAGCGTTAGCACCGGTTTTAGCCTATACTCCCGAACCTGTGCCGCAGAAGCAAGAGACGGTCTCATTTGGCAAACATGTTCACCACATGCCTCGTTTGAGTAATTTCAACTAAAGCTGTTGGACTCTGCGAGCTTTTCGTATCGAGATCATGCTATGGAATTAACTTCCGAAATCGTGGCCCTTGTGTTTGTCTCTTTTAGGAAATTCGAGTCGAGATATAGTTTCTCGGGATGCGTTGTAATTAGTCGAACGCAACTGGTGCATTATATAAGCATTGGAGCGGAGAAGGATGGAGAAAGGGTCCTTGGGTCTTCGGAGATGCAGGGGAGACAGCCGAAATGACTGCTCTCTAGAAGCACTGGCCTTGTGTGTTGTTTAAGATCAGAATAAAACGATATTCAATTAACTAGCTAGTCACAAAACGTCTCTCTTCGACCAGAGATGCACCTTACTATCTTTGGACCTTGCAAAACCGGCTTTCTCTCCAACTGTACTGCTGAGATCTTGATCAACCCCAGAAGCTGATCCCTTGGCATCTGACTCGCCAAGGTAACTCTAGCATTGAATGATGACACGGGCTGCATTGAATCAGAGATCAGTCGAGAGAATGAAATGATTTATTAACTAGCCTTTCGCATGATTTTCAATATATAGCAATCATATCCACTGGTGGGCCGTCTTTCATAGTTTCACCGTCCATGATTCCGTGCGTGTAAGCTTCTCCAATGAGCCGTAATTTGCCGTGGTTATTTGGGCGAAGAATATATGGAACATCGGTGCCAACAAGTACGTAGACAAGGTCTCCAGGCATCATTTGGCAAGGTCCTATCCCTAAGTGACCTTTTGATGTGTGGAAAGGCCGTCTGCCATAAGCAACATCCTGCAACTGATAAAGATAATCTTCTAATCCTAAGTGGGCAAACGTTCGTGCATTTGCAACGCTCAAATCCAGACTTCTCAATAAGTTATGTACTTTTGCAAGACCGTGTTCAGATAATCTAGGCTTTTGGTTCCCCTGCCTGATCTCTTGATCTGCCACTGCAGTGCGCCAGACATTTCTTAGGTGATGAGGCTCAAAAGGAGGGGAGCTTTGATGAGAAAATTCCCTTAGCTCTTGCAGCCAGAGCCCAAAAGCTTGTGGTTCCCAAGTAGTGCCCACACACTTCACTTCATCCACAAACTTGGCATGGATTAATAGGGACGTAGGAAAGCCTTGTGTGTGCTCAAAGGAGAGATGTGTATGTTGGTTATCCCCAGAAGCGCTGAACCTGGGTTGGAGAACAGTTGTGATAGGCACTGATTCTCGCTTCATCGCCCTTTGCTGAAGAGGAACTCTGTAGCTGATCTGATTGAAGTCGGGAACCCACGAAGGAAGTTCTGAACTTTCTTTATGGGCTTCGCAGAATGAAAGAATATCAAAGACACCATTTTGCAATAGCGATATTGTAGTCCTGATATAAACCTCACTACAGGACTTTCGGTAATCTGGAGATAGACCAAATGCCGCTGCATCCGCAGCAAAACTCAAGAGTGCAAAGATTCTGTCCCGTGGGTCTGTTGCTTTGAAGTATCTTAAGGTTCGGATCAAGTATATCACTGGAAACGGCCCTGCAGCCCTTCGAATCTTGAGAATATTAACAGGGTTACGCATGTCAAATGAGGTTGATGTAAGTTCCGAATCAGTTGCTTGTGGGTGTTGAGCTGATTTGAAGTGCTGGTATTGTCCGAAATTCCTCAGTAGTCTCAGTGAGTGATGAACAGGCTCTTCCGATACGGCAATGTTTCCGCATACGAATTTCACGCGTTTCGCGTGCACTAATTCTTGAACTACCCAGATTCGGCTCCAATAGGCTCGTTTGAAGAGTTTGGATAAGGCTGTGCCAACACTTTCGCTGTCGCGAGTTCCCGGTGACAGCTGCGCAGAGATGTCGCGAAGGAATTCTTTAAGACCTTCGTGAGGTAGTTTATCTGGATCTGCTTCAAACGTCTGTAGGAGGTGGCGAAGTCGCAATTCCGGCCTGGATCCAATACCGAGTTCATAAGACAGAGACCCATAACGCTGGATCCAGTCCATCGCCGCGTCGCTATTTTCCGCAGCTGGACCCAACCAAGTTATCACAGATGTTGCTTTTGAGTAGATTTGCTGCATCTGTCGAACTTGTTCTGTTTTTTCCACTTCATCATCCTGATCGATACAGAGAGCATCGATCCAAAGCGTCAATGGCTTGTCTTCTAGCGTCAAATGACTAAGCGCAATTTCAAGACTTTTCGTGACGTGGAAAGGAGCGTCGCCAACAAGAATGAGGCCTTTTTGATTCAAATCACCCCAGGTGTAAGAAAGCGCAGAATAAGGAGGCGGCTGATCAAGAGAGACATGAGAGATAGTACAAAACACCCGAACTGCTAGCCCAGAAGCATCTGCGTCTGGAAACTGTTCATTTGATGGTGTCTTGAACGGAGCATGACTGCTTCTGGGTAGAAGATGGATGAGCCGGATCCTACTTTTGTCGGGGGTCAGTGCCCGATACACGAAAAATGACATATTCAGAAAGCGGATTAAGATGGTGTAAAAGGATGGGTCCCAATTCAAGTGGCGGTTTCTCTCAACAAATCCAGCCTGCTTATCTCAATTTTCCGACGCTCGCTTACCGTGGCCGGACAGATGATGAGCCGACGGACTGGTTGAGCCACCCCGCCGACTTATTCATCATGGCAACGAGACAGCATCCACGATTATCATTATCACGAAATCTCTTGATACACTAGGCTATATATGCTGGCGAAATTTTTGAACTTTCTAGATTTGTTTTAACATGCCGTTATTGATCGTGTTTGTGACGTTTTGGATGGAACTGATGGTGCAGGCTGCTCATCTTGCTTCGGCTGATTTTTTTGCCGAGAGTGTAAGTAACCGAGGCGCAACTGTGCAGCCATGTGACAAAACCCTACAGAATTGGAATATATCTATTTGAGCTAGGATGAAGAGAGTAGCAGCGAAGTGTTCTAGAGCTTTGTATTCTGTTGACTTGTTCCATAGTTCTCCGTATCACGTGAGAGCACGTGATACGACAATAAGCGAAATGACGTGTCAAAATCGTGTTTTCGCTAGTTATAGCAAATTCCCAAACTGTTCATTCTATCGCCCCGCTAAGTGCTAGCAATGAGCAGAATCATGCCTTCGCGCCCGATTGACAGAAGCTATAGAGTAAATCAAAGTTTGCCACATTTGTGTCGATGTCCTAACGAAGTTCAGAGCGCCATTAACATCCTCCACAGCCGACGACGCCCGGAGAGACCCAGTGTAAGACCGGGAAGCAACCCACCGGGTCTAAGCCGTATTCCCGATGCGCAAGGAAAACCTGACCTGAAGGGTACTCCAAGTATAGTTGGAATGAAACAATGGCTGCATCAGATTGGTCACTCGGTATGCCTCCTTGAGCAGTCCAGAATCTTACTGATAGAAAGAGACTACGGAGATTGATAACCTAAACATCGTCCATGTCGCAGGAACTAAGGGCAAAGGCAGTACATGTGCATTCATCGAGTCCTTCCTTAGGACTTTCGGGGAAAGGACTGGCTTCCCACGAAAAACGGGTCTATATACTTCGCCACATCTCATCTACCCTGAAGAGAGGATTCGCATCAATTTTCAACCCATTGCCAGAGACCTTTTCGCGAGATATTTCTTCGAAGTGTGGGATGTCTTATCACAAGATGATGACAGTCTACGGCCTTTGCCTCGTTATCTTCAGCTCATCGCCCTAGTATCTTTCCATGCGTTTATCAGAGAAGGAGTAGAAGCGGCTATATTCGAGACCCATCATGGAGGGGAATACGATGCTACCAATGTGATAGAGCATCCTGTTGCGACTGTTGTCACTACACTTGGGATGGATCACGTCAAGCAGTTAGGTCCCACCATCGAAAACATTGCTTGGCATAAAGCGGGAATTTTCAAGCACGGAGCTCATGCACTTTCATCTCCTCAAGAGGCCTCCGCTGCCGAAGTTCTTCTCAGGCGTGCATCTGAGAAAGGTATCAATCTCCAATTCGTCGAGAACGATCCCTCTCTCCCAGCAGATGCACTGCAGTTAAAGCCGGACGTCCAGCGCACGAACTGTTCCGTTGCGCTTGCTGCAGTTCGCCGTTTTCTTGAAGAAAGAGCCCCTAAAGGTGCTGCAGAAATAGCGTCCTCGGATGTCTTACAGGGCATAAATCAATTCTCTTGGCCGGGACGCTTTCAACTCCTTGTTCAAGGAACATTCAGCTGGTTCCTGGATGGTGCACACAATGAAATGAGCGTTAGCAAGGCCGCAGAATGGTTCATTGAGAGCTCACAGGGCGAGAGGTGCTTAATTCACCAAGTCAATTACCGCCACATACCACTAACATTTATAGGGAATCTCTCGTACGGATCTTGATTTTCAGTCAAGTTTCAGAGCAGAGGGATGCCAAAATCGTACTAGAACGACTTGCCACTACCCTCAGCACTATTCACATCCATCATGTCATTTTTACTCTGTACGATCCAGAGCAAGACTTCGATTCTACGACAGGTGAAGATAACCACGTTGTTGCGAAATTATCCTACTAATTGCGATATAGCTGTGGTTTCAAAGTCAGAAGACACGTTGCACAAAGCGTTTGGTGAGATATGGAAGAGGTTCCACCAGAATTCCGAAATTCTCTACGAACCAAATATACAGAAAGCCTTGGATTCTGCTAGGAAAATAGGAACGGAAGCTAGAGGCATGCAGACACTTATCACTGGAAGTCAACATCTAGTTGGTGCCGCACTTCATTCATTAGACAGCTATGCGTCTGATAAGGGATCCGTCTAGATTCTAATTCTCTTACGGCTAGTAGGATTGAGGCAGCGGAAGCTGAACAAATGGCAGCTTTGGAAATACAAATCACTTCACAGTGTTACAAGTTTCGCAATGTGCCCCTTCCATCATATGCAACCCTCAGTTATCCAGGCTCTATTAGAAGCTACTAGTTAGTAGAATACATATAGGCTTTGGCTACTGGACAACAAGGGGTGGTAGGCGTGTATTTTTTTGGAATGATTGCGCATATTTGCTAATGTCTCTGGAGTACTCGGGCCCCACGGCTGCTGTAGCAGAATTTCAATGATAACACGTAGCTTTTAGTACATACATCTACCACAACAACTCATTATTAAATAAACTTAACTACATATATCGTTTTTACCATGCTTAAGGTCTATAAGAGAAAGTCTGTATATAAAGAAGAGGTGGTGGCGTTGCAAAAGCACGTCCAAGCGTTACGCCTACTCCATCAACCTAACATCAAAACCTATGCAACTACCCACAACTTGCCATATCAGCGCCTGCAACGCGCCTATCTTGGACTTCCGAATCGCTGTGATCGCGCTAAGCCGCCTGTTTTATACCGGCTTAATGAGTCTCAAAATTTCGCTCTTGAGCGGTATCTTGATGCTATCGATAATATTAGCTTTGGCATTCATCGTGGACTAGTTGAGCAGTAGGCAAACTCACTCCTTAAGGATCCGTATACAGGACGAAATAAAGTTGCACCTAAGGTTAGCAAGCTTTGGACACGACGATGGCTCGCAAGGCACCCAAAATATAGGCGCGTAAAGGCAAAATCAATTGACGTGCAGCGTAAGCTTGCCCACGAGCCAGCAGCGATCCTTGATTGGTATACTAGACTTAAAGACCTTATCGACGAGCGTAGTATCTTGCCTGAAGACATATACAATATGGATGAAACAGGCTGCTGTATTGGTGTTGCAAAAGAGCAATACTCATACACCAAAAATGGACGTACGGTCTTTATCCACAACGCCAACAATCGCGAGCTTAT